GAACCTTGAGGTTCCCAGTGCGTACACTGGATTTGGAGGACCATCTTCAGGTCCTCCAAATCTAGGAAGGGGTGCAGCTGGCACATCAGACATAGCTGATAGTAAACACTCCTGACAATTGTCACATCTCCATTGACTGGCATTTGGAGGGACAGATTCAGGAGAACCCCAAGCTGTGGAGACAGTCTTTCAGAGGGAATAGACCCCATCCAGGACTGGTTGACACACCTCTATCTCCAGATGAGGACTCTTGATTGCAAGCACCTCTGTTTGTTTTTCTTTTGAGGTCATTTCTGTACATTGAAGTCTATAGGTAAAGGTAAAGATTTTCCCCTGGCATTAAGTCTAGTGTCCAACTCTGGAGGTTGGTGCTCATCTCCATTTCTAAGCTGAAGAGCCAGCGTTGTCTGTAGACATCTCTATCATGAGGCCAGCATGACTGCATGGAGCGGCATTATCTTCCTGCCGGAGCAGTACCTATTGATCTACTCGTTTTCGAACTGCTAGGCTGGCAGAAGCTGGATCTAACAGCAGGTTCGTTCCCTTAGCCAATTACAGACTCACCTAACTGTTATCTTGCCCAGCCCAAACCATAATTTGGACTAGTTTGTTTTCCAGAAGGTCACGCCGAACCTTGTCGAAGGCATTACTGAAATCCAAAAATGTGTTCCTTGCATATCCATGGCACCACACTCCAAAACTATGGATGATCTCTCCCAGTAGTTTCATGTATATGTTAAACAACATGACGGAGGACAAAAGAGAACCCTGAGAAACCCCACAAGTCAACGGTGAGAGGTTCGAGCAGGAGTCTCCCAGCATCGCCTTCTGGGTACGGCCTTCCATGAAGGTTGCAAAACTGTGCCTCCCAGTTACATCCCAGACAGATGACCCAGAAGGAGACCATGGTCATTGGTATTGAAAGCTGCTGAGAGATCTAGGAGAACCAACAGGGACACACTCCCCATGTTGAGGTCTCTTCATAGGTGGCAAAAGCCATTTCTGTTCCATGGCCAGGCCTTATAATCTGCCCCGAAAGCTCCTGCCTCGGCACGTTTTGCAGCCTTGCTTTGCCCATGCTCTGTGATTCTAGATTCATATTTACTGCTTGGAGGTCTCAGCTGCCGAGAGCTATGAGGTTTCATGTTGTGTACAGGCTGTTCCCTGCAAGGCTCGTTGGCGCTTTCCTAATCCCATCGCCTAGGGAAGGCACCCCACCCTCCACCATTGCCTTTCCAGAACCTAGAAGAAGGAAGAAGGAAGAAGGAGAGGGTGGGAAGGCTGAGAGGGTGCATCTCTCTGGGGTCCATCTCTCTGCACAGACTGTGTGTTGCTTTGGGTCCCAACCCTGGCACAAAAAGCAGGATTTCAAATAGATGGTGTTTTGACTCTGTCTTCCTACCTGTTTTAAATTGTATACTAATGCTTTTATGTCAAGCTGCTTTAAGTTGGGGAGATAAAGCAATTTTTTATTATTATTATTATTATTATTATTATTATTATTATTATTATTATTATTATTGTTATTAGAAACACAACAAGATGAGTCCACAGCAGACAAGGTCACTCTGCTAGCTGTTGTATTGGATCACACGTCGGACACTTCCCAAGTGTCTAGGACTGTGTGATATATCGGCAATTAATGTGTGCAGATCCCAGTAAGGTGCACTTCTGCAGCTGGCAGATGGTAGTCTTGTCAGCGCCGATTGTGTTTAAGTGCAGGCCAAGGTCTTGAGTGTGCAGATCACCACTGGGACCACCTTGACTGGCTTGTGCCAGAGTCTTTGCAGTTGGATCTTTAAATCCTCATATCGTGTCAGCTTTTCCAGTTGTTTCTCTTCAATCCTGCTGTCACCTGGGATTGCGACATCGACAATCTATACTTTGTTTTTTAACACGATTGTGAGGTCAGGAGTATTGAGCTCCAAAACTCTGTCTGTCTGAATCCAGAAGTCCCAGAGGAGTTTGGCATGTTCATTCTCTGTAACTCTTTCCGGCTTGTGATCCCACCAGTTTTTTGTCGCAGGCAGATGGGATTTGTGGCACAAGTTCCAATGGATCATCTGAGCATCGGTGTTGTGCCTCTGCTTGTGGTCTGTCTGCGGCTGCGTGATCTTCTTGCAGCAGTTGAGGATGGGATCTATTGTTTCATCTACTTCCTTGCAGGGTCTACACTTGGGATCTGTTATCAACTTTTCAATTCTGGCTTTGATGGCATTGGTTCTAATGTCTTCTTCTTCTTCTTCTTCTTATTATTATTATTATTATTATTATAGTTCTTGAAGGCCAGACATGACAGACTTCTCTTTCTCATGGTTTTTTCCCCTACTAAAATGTCTAACCTTCTTTTACATCAATCTATTTCTCTCTCACTCTCTCTTTATAGGCATAAACACATTCATACATACACACATATCTGTGTGTATGTGCTTCTATAATTTCCATATCATTGATATTGTGCATTTTTTTCTATTATAGTTCCTCAGCAATTGACCCATCA